TGGGATGAGAATCAGCTCCTCTAAATCCGAGACCATGGTCTTGATTCGGAAAAGGGTAGAAAGCCTTCTCCGGGTCAGGGTCGAGGTCCTGCCCCAAGTGGAGGAGTTTAAGTATCTCGGGGTCTTGTTCACGAGTGAGGGAAAACTGAAGTGTGAGATCGATAGGCAGATTGGTGCTGCATCTGCAGTGATGCAGGCGTTGTACCGGTCTGTCGTGGTGAAGAGAGAGCTGAGTCAGAAGGAGAAGCTCTCAATTTACCGGTCAATCTACGTTCCTACCCTCACCTATGGTCACGAGCTTTGGGTAGTGACCGGTAGAATGAGATTGTGGGCACGAGCAGCCGAAATGAGTTTTCTCCGCAGGGTGGCTGGGGTCTCTCTTAGAGATAGGGTGAGAAGCTCGGTCATCCGGGAGGGGCTCGGAGTAGACCCGCTGCTCCTCCACATTGAGAGGAGCCACTTGAGGTGGCTCGGGCATCTGGTCAGGATGCTTCCTGGACGCCTCCCTGGTGAGGTTTTCTGGGCATGTCCAACCGGGAGGAGACCTAAAGGTAGACCCAGGGCACACTGGAGAGACTATGTCCCACGGCTGGCCAGGGAATGCCTTGGGATTGCCCCGGAGGAGCTGGTCCAAGTTCCTGAGGAGAGGGAAGTCTGGACCTCCCTGCTGAGGCTACTGTCCCTGCGACCTGACCCTGGATAAGTGTCTGAAAATGGATGGATGGATGTCAGCTCGACTGCACAGACATGTCCTATCTTGGTCTCTGAGCTGTTGGTTGTCCCCCGCTCCAAGTGCAGATCTAGGGAGGATCGTGTGCTCTCAGTTCTGGCTCCACTGTTTTGGAACGAGTTACCTTTGAGTGTTAGGCAGGAGCCGTCGCATCTGGATTTTAAATCTCGCTTAAAGAGTAATTTTCATGTGATGGCGTTTCAGTGATAGGGATCATAACAATGCCTTGATCTTTTATTGTTTTTCATCTCGTTTACTTTTATTTATTTTGGAATATAATAGTTTTATGATAATTTCCTATGTTATTCAATTTCGTTTAATGTTTTTATTGATTGTTTTTATGTTTTATCTTTCTCTTCAAGTTCCATGATACTATTTGCTCGTGGTCTGCTAACAATGGAAGGTGCTTTAAAAATAAACTGAAATAAAAAAATTACAGATTTTTCTTTGCGGAAATCTGCCTTCAAGCTCAACAAGCTTCATAATTTAATGCAAGGCGCACTTCCCGAAGGACATCAGTGGAAAACATTTCATCTCCTGTTTCTCTGGGAAAACCTGGAGTGTAAAGTGCTTTAGAGTGCACGTCATTAATGCTCATCATTTACCTTTAGTCATGTGTAACTCAGTCTTCCTCTCTTTACTTTTAAAAATGTAATCCGAAAAGCATTTTGTGGACACTTTTTTAGATAAAACCAAGGTGGCCAAGGATGCTCTCGTAGCTTTTTCTCATCTGATGACAATAAATTGAGTTATTTTTATTAGATTATGAAAATCAAGCAAAAAATACCCATCATGAGTCATGTGCTGTCCTTAGAGAACCTGAGTCAGTAACAACTGCACCTTAAAAGTGGTCGCCATGGAAACACATTCACTGACCCTCCAGAAGGAGGAGAGAACGGCTTTTAAGATTTTACCTGTTGAATGCTGTGAGTGTGCTGACTATGACTCAAGTTAAAGATTCTACTTCTACCCCACCGCTGCATCCTTTTCTATTGCCTCATAAGGAGCAACCTGCAAAGATCAAGGATGAAGAAGCTAAAATGAACCTCAGAGCGCCGGCCTTCATCTGATAAGTATTTATAGATTGGTGTGGGATGGTGAGGAAGGCCGGTGCCAACTGGAAACCTCAACTTTATGTTGTTCAGGACGTGTGGGACTCTGGCTGTGGAGCTCCGGCAATCATGAATCACAATACACAAAACAACACGTGCACACACACACACACACACACACACGCACGCACGCACGCACGCACGCACACACACACACACACACACACACACTCACACACACACACACATGCAGATGAAGGGATAACATGTGGGGGAGGATAAATACTTGCAGTAGATTCCTGAATGCAGGTTATGCAATGGTCACAATACTCAAACCTCCAAGTTACTGACTCAGCATCCTCCCACTCTCCTTCAGATAGATAGATAGATAGATAGATAGATAGATAGATAGATAGATAGATAGATAGATAGATAGATAGATAATACAAATACATTCTTTTTGAATAGTTTTATTTAAAAAGTTTAGTAGAAGTGCATTTTTGTTCCACAAGTGTCCATTTGCGCTATTTTAGTCCTTTTTGCGCCTCACTGGATGTGGCACCTCTCCAGTCCCTTGCCAGACTTCCTGGCCGGTCCGGTGACTTGTCTGAGGTCAGTTGTGAAGCTCGGCCGACGGGCCAGCGGGTACAGGGTGCCACAGGGATCATCTCGTCCCGCCACCTGTCTCCCCTTCCACGCAGCGAGCTCCGTGCGCATGGCCTGGTACGACCGGAGGGACACTTTGCGGTGCTGAGACGGACCGGTTTCCGTCGGCAGACCGCCCCGCTTTGCCAAAGTCTCGAAGACCTTTTCGAGATTAGTGCTGTCCTTTGCGGATGTTTCAAAATAGGCGCAGTCCTCGCCGAGTGCTCGGAGCACCTCTGCGGTTGACACTTGTCTCTCAGAGTCCGGGAGATCCACCTTGTTGGCGCACACCACCAGCGGAACCCGCAGTTGCGCGCAGTGCCCCGGCACCGGGAATTTTGTGAGTTTGGATTTGGCAGCTAAAATCTCATCTCGCAGGTCACACACCTCCTCAAAGGAGCTCCTGTCCTCTAGGCTGAATACGAGTAAAAAGATATCTCCTGTAGAAAGAAAATAAACAAGTTAGACTCGTAAAAATTAGCTTTGCGCAAAGAATTGCGCATTCTGTTTAATTTTAAAAGTGATTTTATCCAGTGAATCTGTAATAAATGGGATGGAATCCCAAACATTTGACAAAAAAATCTAATTATTATGCGCAAGAGAGGGTCAGACTGAGCCTTTACGCACCAGTGAGGATGGAGAGACGTCTCTTTGCCGGGAAGTCCCTCTCCCTGGACGCATCCAGGATGTCTATCTGGTACGTCTCCCCTCGGATGCGAAACAACTTTCTGAGAAAATCCTCAGAGGTTGGACTATAGTCCTCCACAAATCCATCTCGGAGGTATCTTCTCAGGATGGAGGTCTTCCCGACGCGCGGTGCACCGAGCACCACGATGCGCTTACAGTTCTGCGGCTTGGTGATGTACAGCGGGTCTTGTCGGTGCCCCTGAGTGAGTCGACAGTGGCGGGTCTGACCATGTACTACAGCTGCCAACTGGTCCAGAGGGGATCTCTTGCACGGATGCGGGCTGTTTGCATTGGACAGCTGCATGACGGATGCGCCGGTGCGCGTCTTCTTTTCCTGTTTCCACTGAGATGTGGCCTCTTTAAGAATCCCCAAACTCGCTTTGATTCCAGACGAGTGCAGGTGCTGCGAGGCGTGTTTGCAAACCAGCAGAACTTTGGAGTGATTGTCACACTGTCCGGCCAGCATGTTACCAGGAAGCTGCTGCGGACCAGTGATGCACTCGCTCGGCGCCTCAGTGGAGATGCTCCCCACTTCCACCGCTTCTGGCGCTTTATTTTGCGCAGAGGGAAAGTGGGCAGAATCACTGATCTGATAGGCCAGCTTAAAGCGGTGTATTTGCCAGGGTGGCTGATGTCAGCTGTCTTTATAGAGGCTTTCCCAGCCCCATGAATCGCCGCGTCATGCTGACTGACAGAAGCACGCTGTCTTCAACCAGAGAACACCATGTTTTAGACTAAAAACACAGTGAGGCAGGTGATTCAGGGGAGCAGAACACCTTGGTTTGCTTTCAGGAATTATCTCTGGTTGAATCCATGATGTTTTGTTTTTGTGATAAAATCCATAAGGCTTTACAAACAACTTATGATGATTGTTTTATAATAATAATAATAATAATAATAAACAATAATGATAATAAGTATTATTATTATTACTATTACTATTATATTTTTATTATTATATATATTATTTTTATTTGAATAATAACAATAATTATTATTATTGTTATTATTATTATTATTATTTGTTATGTTGTTATTGTAATAATAACAAATTATTATAATAATATTATTATTAATAATAATAATAATAGTAATATTTCCTAATCAAGGTTAGACTATTTTATTTGATGTATAAAAAACAAGGAAAAACATAAATGAGGAGTTTCGGCAAGAACATCTGGCTGCAGACATCAGCTGGCGTCTTTGCCGTGACAGGAAATGACGTATCCGGAAAAACAAGTGTCATTACCTTCGCCGGAAGTCATTACCTTTGCCGGAAGTAGTTTTTTTTCGGGTCATTACCTTTGCCGGAAGTAGCTTTTTTTCTTGAATACGCTTTATTGACAAAGCACAAAAGTAGTTTGGATTTGTCAAAACCATACCGTGTCGTTTTTCTCTTCGATTTGTAAACATTAAGAGAAAAATTACACGGTGGGTCATTACCTTAACCAGAAGTCATTACTTTCACTGGAAGTAGTTTTTTAAAAAAACAAAACTTACCGGAAAAAGCTTTTTATTTCGGATTTTTTTTTCTCTTCAGATCTGGACTGGCAAACTTAAGTAACGTTGTTACCTGCGTTGCATGAAAATTGAATATTAAATCCCTTTGTTCTTCAGACAGGGAATTTTTATGACAGTAGCACATACATACATACATATACATATATATATATACACACACACATATATGTATATATACACACACACACAATAAAAGGCTGTAAAGTGAATTTAAAAAAACATATGGATAAAATGAGAACACGTTAAACTAAGACTTTTCAAAACGTGCAAACAAAATAGTACTGGCTAAATATTCAGTTTTATTGTTAAGCCCAAGATGAACTTTTGACCTACACCAATTGCTAAAGTACAGGACTCCCAGAAGCAGTGAAAAACATTTCAGCAACACTCCTCTCTCAGCAGCAACAAAAATTAGTTATTAAATATCCATAACACTGTCCTATTGTGTATCACAGCAGCTCATTGCAACAGAATTTAACTACTACAGCTGATAACTATTTAGCTAGTTGGTATTTATTTTGAGTGAAAGACAATAAAACCAAAGAAACACTTGATTTCACAACCATTTTATTTTGGGTACAAATGCATCTGCTAAAGCATGGCTTTCTCAGCTGCATATCGATTCATCCCCTCCCATTTTTCCAACACTTTTATTGTTACCTGAAAAACATGCAGGATTACTTCAACGTCGTCGTCTTCCTCCGCTTGTCCGGGTCGCGGGGACAGCATCCCAAATAGGGAGCTCCAGACCGTCCTCTCCCCGGCCACCTCCACCAGCTCCTCCGGCAGGACCCCAAGGCCTTCCCGGACCAGATTGGAGATGTAACCTCTCCAACGTGTCCTGAGTCGACCCGGGGGCCTCCTGCCGGCAGGACATGCCTGAAACACCTCCCCAGGGAGGCGTCCAGGAGGCATCCTGACCAGATGCCCAAACCACCTCAACTGGCTCCTTTCGATCCAGAGGAGCAGCGGTTCTACTCCGAGTCCCTCCCGGATGTCCGAGCTCCTCACCCTATCTCTAAGGCTGAGCCCGGCCACCCTACGGAGGAAACTCATTTTGGCCGCTTGTATCCGCGATCTCGTTCTTTCGGTCATTACCCAAAGCTCATGACCATAGGTGAGGATTGGGACGTAGATCGACCGGTAAATCGAGAGCCTGGCTTTCTGGCTCAGCTCCCTCTTCACCACGACAGATCGGCTCAGCGTCCGCATCACTGCAGACGCCGAACCAATCCGCCTGTCGATCTCCCGATCCCTCCTACCCTCACTCGTGAACAAGACCCCGAGATACTTAAATTCCTCCACTTGAGGTAGGACCTCTCCCCCGACCCGGAGTTGGCAAGCCACCCTTTTCCGGTCGAGAACCATGGATTTGGAGGTGCTGACCCTCATCCCAGCCGCTTCACACTCGGCCGCGAACCTATCCAGCAAGAGCTGAAGGGAGCAAGAGCTGAAGGTCAGAGCTGGATGAAGCTAGGAGGACCACATCATCCGCAAAAAGCAGAGACGAGATTCTCCTACCACCAAACTCTGTTAAGAATTACTTCATACACTGTCAAATGTTTTCGAAAAGTAACTTTTATACCAATCACTGCTGAAGCCTGCGTTGTACCTCTGGAACAAGGACATCAAACACCAAGTCCAGAAACTGGAACTCTCTCTTCTTTATTAGTTTATCTATTCCTGAGCATGAACCAGTCCGCTCTGTCAGCTCGTCAACCTATAAAACACGTTAACATAAAAATGAACAAAACGTTCCTCTCAGCATTAGACAACGGACCCAGGTGGCCCACTGACCATGCATCCACATAAATAAATGTGATGCAGCTTATTGTAAGTCAGTATACATTTACCTGTGCATCAGCAAAGTGGAACATCAGTGGCTTTAGTCTTTGCTTTAATTTAAGCGAGACACCTGGATTGTGCCACAGATACATGCGGCCAGACTTCACTCCACCGCTGCAGCTACATGTGCTTAAATCCGGTAATATTAATATAAACCAAACCCGATCAAAGCAGTCAGTCGACAAAAATATCTATTTTTTATAAGGATAGGATTATTCCGAAACAGAATCAGAAGGAGGGCGGCATTAATTAGAGAAGCGGCTGCTATTTCAAAGTTATTGTACCTGTTGCAGGACACCTGATTTGTGCAACCACGGTTGAATGACCCAGCACACCACACACAATAACTGAAAAATATTTAGAGATATTGAAAGCTAAGCTTGTCCAGAAAATACATTTTATTTCTGGGTGCACAGGACCAGTTCCAGTGTGGGCCAGATGCTGAAAAATAAATTCATAAATCTGTCTTTTTGAAGTTTCACAAATCAGAGGAAGGTTTCACAAATCACAAACTATGTTTTATGCATTCCTACGAGCCCAGAATAATTTAAAACAGGTTTGAAGAGTGTATGTATTGTAGGTTTTGAGCTAGAGCAGAATAAAAATGGTCAGAGTAGAGAAAAATTGGGTGTATTAGCCCTTTAGCCATTTCCCGAATCGGAAGCTAACTTTAGCCTCGTATGAAAACTAGTGATTGAAACCACTTACAAATCTCTGAAAATCTACGCTTTTTAATTAAAAAAGGGTATTAATAACGTTTCAGTCAAGTCAGTATTAGAAATCGTGGTCTTTATATCATATCTAAATTATATATAAAGTTAATATTATTACTTTAACTGTTTTAACAAACAGGGAGACCAGAAAAATCAAATAGCTAAGTTAAAGCTAAGCTACAATTGCTGATTGCTTTATTTATGTAGCTTTTGTGTTCGCTAGCTTGTGATCTCCCTGCATTAGTTTTAAGACTGCGTGTTAATATTGATACAATTAGCTATGAAACACGGTGCCTTTGCAATAATTCTCTGGTAAAGCTTTAAACGCTACAGTGCCTACATTTAAGAACTAAGAACGGTTGCAACAATTAGTTAATTTCATCCTTATCCTTCTTTCTTTATCTATCATCCTTATCCTTACCTTTCCTCAATTGAAACCCGCCGAGTATGGTTGAAACAAAAACAACGTAGCGGCCGCCAAAAAAGGACCAACTTCCTGCCGAGGTCTTTCGCTCGTCGATTTTCCGGTAAAAGTAATGACACGCCATCTTGCTCTCGACACACCAGCTGATGTCTGCAGCCAGGTCCTACTCAGTTTCGGCCGTCAGGAGAGATGGTTGCCATGGATACCAACTGCTACGAAAAGCTAGCTTAGCGAGGCTAACGCTGCTCGAGCTTTCCGCGTATTTTTATGCTTTTATAGATAAAACTGATGCACGAGTCCCACAGCACCGAGTTGGAACCTCACTGTGGTGCAGGTCAGCTTCAGTCCCATTGGTTTTTCTGCTTATTCAGCTTGTTTATTATCACCGTTTAGCTTTAGCCGGTCTGTCTCCTGTGTCGTACCGAATGTTGAGACGTTGTTTTGTTTGAACCTGGAAGCAGACGCTAAAATATTCTCTCTACAGTGAATTTTGTGCACAAGTGTTCAACTTCCTCTAAAGTTTAGATTTTTTGCTTTAAGTTGATCAGACATTCTTGTAATTTTTTAACTTATGGGTTGTTTAAGAGTTAAGTCCCCAAAGAAAGCTATTTCCAGCAGATGAATGGTATCTGAGTCATGTTTTTATTTACAAATCCAGCTAACAGAGAGGAGATACATCATCCATTAGTTTATTCTGTGGTCCCCATCCTCTGCGGGCCAAAGACCAGTCGGTGGACCGTACCAGACCTAATTTAAACTTTCTGTAATACAAAAAACAAGTTTATACATTTTTATGTTTGTTGATCCGTTGTGAAATTTATCATGAAATAACAAAATAAAACATTTTACATGACAGTATGACGATAATAGAAATTTTGAATGATCTTTTTTTATCAGATGTTTAATAACTAAATGTAACATTTTGTATTTTATTGCATGTGTGATAAACTGCATGGCCACTGGTCAGTTATAAAGCCATCTTGGTAGTAAACCACTGATCTACCAGCTTTGTTTCCATTTAAGGATCTGGTTTAAGCTCGTAGTGCTTGATTTTAGGTCATATCTGTCAGAACCTTTGATGCCAGAACTTACAAGCTTCTTCTGCACCTTCACAGTTCCAAGAGTGGATCTGTGTCTTTAAATCCAATGTATGCATGTTTGCACACTACTGGTCTCTCCCTTAAGTTATTTGTTTGCCTAAATGATTAATAGCTCTGAGTTAAGAGGCTTAGCAACCATACCTAACAATACAGATTTTAAAATTACAGTAAAAGTGCTTTGAGATGTCTAAAAATGAGTGACAAAGTTAAAGTCCAAAGAAAAACATTTGAAGATTACCAGAAAGTCTGAAAACCTATTTATTAAGGATAAATAAAAAAAACTATTTTTCTAAAGTCTAGCTTCTTGGAGGCAACAAAGAAATACATTTGAGCTTAGTCAAAATGTGAATGCTTCTGAAAAAATAAGGAAAAACGAGAAAAACCCTCGAAAAACATGTCTACAAAAACTTTAAAGTCATATTCCTCTGCAGTAACACATGATTCAGATTATTTTTACTGACTGTTAAAATGGGAGCATCTACACACTTAAAACTGCTGGGTTAAAAATAACCCAATTTGGGTTGTTTTGTAACCCAGGTGCTGGGTCAAAAAGGGACCGACCCAGTGCTGGTTTATTTTAATCTAGCAGGGTTGGGTTATGAGTTTGACCCAGCTTATTGGGTTATGCTTTCTACCCAATCAATGGGTTAAAATGACCCAACTGTATAGTTAGGACTACCCAAAACTGGGTTAAAAATAAAACCCAACTTCTGGGTTATTAAATTACTAAAACTTGGGTTAAAATGACCCAATTTTATAGTAAATACAATACAATAAATAAAATACAAATTGAATAATTCAATAAAGCAAAATGAACATGTCTCAGTCAAATCTTTATCACAAAAATTATGTTAATTTTCAAAATACAAAGATAACAAATAAAGTTGCATTTTCTACTTTCTCTAAACATGCATTCATATTCAAACTTGTTTTGTAAATGACTAAATTGCATTTTTTTAAATGACAAATATTAAACATTTCGTAACTTGTAATGTCTTAAACATGTTAAACAACTTTAATGGAAGAACTGTAGAGAAGTAAATGTCCATCAACACCCAACACTCACCTTAATGCTTTGGCCAGCAGAACATCAACCTTACATCATAGCAACATGAGCCCTCAAAGCTTCACAGCATTAGATTCATGATGCAAAGGTAAATGTCTGAATAAACCCCCAAATCTGTGCACGTGGTTTTGGATAGTTGACATCAACACAAAAAATGTTTAAGAACAGATGGGTATTCCAGTTCCATTGATGATCAAAAACTCTTGGGAACATCGATGGTCTTCTGCAGCCATAAGGACATGTGGTGCTCCACTGTGGTCCCATTCAGGTTCTTCACCAGACTGGTTCCAGTCTAAGTTGAGGGGGATAGAGGGAAAAAAAGCACAGATTTAGGCATAAAGGTTATGATTTCACAAACAGCTGTTGAAGCATATTTGGAGTGGGCTGTGAATGATAACTGAAGTAAAAAATAACAGAACTTACAGGTTGGAAGTCAGTGAAGGCCTGCTGAACCTCTGCTTGGTCGGAACGCTCTCCTTCAACTTGTATGGTGCAGTTTGGAGAAGCACTGGCAGCAACAACAAAGCCACATCCACCCAGTTGTCTGTAAAATTGAAATGTGTTACATTATTCACATGACTGTAGCATAAAGGCCCTCTGCTGTTAGCAGGGATGCTACCACTGGTATAAAATAGCCAGAAGGCCTAACGTCCCCCAGTAGAGCCTCACTATGTCAGGGAGTATGGACAGAAGATCACAACATTTTCCAGAGCACTTGTGCTGCGGATTCTGTGTTACATTCTATCTAATATATATATATATATATATCGATGCTAGGAAGCTAAGTAGCCAGCTATCTAATCAAAACTATGAGTCGATTGTCTTGAACAGACAGGCTAAAAATCAGTTACTTTATCAACTACATGTCCAGTTTTAATGAAATTAATCTTTAAACTCTTTATTAGTAACGTCTTACCTTATTTTAAATCCTTGCTGGTGTGGAGCTCCATTAATGTCCGTGTCATCCTCTGGTTTAAAATGGTGAAGCGGGCTCACAGACATGGGGGAGGATCTTACTATTTCTCGCATTTTTTAACCCAATACGCTGGGTCAGAATTTTTAACCCAATGATGTGTTAAATTGACCCAACCTCTAAAAATTCAGCCTTAACCCAGCAGTTGGGTTAGAAAAATAACCCAGCATTTTTAAGAGTGTAGATTGATCTGAGTCTGAAATGAGTACAAACATTTCAAAAGTAGGTCAGTGTCGGAAGCTTTTTGATAAGTTGTGTTTATGTAAGCAGTGCAGCTGATTATCATATCCTCCCTTTGCTCTGAACAAACGCAATTAAGACAAGTTGTCAAATTATGAGTGAAACACCCACAGATGTATGAAAATGCTAACAAAAGCCAAGGTCCGGATCCTGTTGCTATGACATGGAAAATAATCAGATAAACTTGTGTGAAAAGAACAAAATCAATATTCAAGGTACTCTATTTGACTCTGACTGTATGTTTATTTGACTTTGTGACACTTTAGAGGCAGAAATAAAATACGTAAACCTCTTTTGTGTGAGTTTGTAACATTTTATGTTCTTTTCCAGAGATCAGAGAGGTGAAAACGCATGGGGAGTTGTCTTTTCTGGGAAATGACGCCAACAAAAGCTCAGCTACAGATCTGCAGGCTCCGCCCCACCAGGAAATTGAAAAAGTATTCTAAACTGTTGGCATCATTAATTGCAAACAGATTAAATCAAATGTGTTTATTCATCTGCACTCTTGTACAAAACCAAAGCCTCTGATAGGTCTACAACAATCAGAGCTGACAGCATCTGAGCATCAAAGGTCATCAGCTGCTGAAATGAGTGATGCTGCTGAGGAGACACCAGCACAGAGACTGGACTACACAGGCGTGTTTTCTTTTATTCTCACTAAAATATCAGCAGAAATGTTCTCCGGGTGTTTATTTCTGTTCCCGTCCTTCCGTTGCAGCGTGGCTTCAGTTCGATGAGCGCGGCATGGTTCTTCCACACAGCATCCTGGGGAGCCTGGAGGATTTTAGAAGTCATCTGGAGACCAAAGGAGAGAAAAATGTAAACATGACTTCACTTTGCAAACAGAAATGATCTGAATTAGTTCACGAGCTCTGCTTTCTTTTTATTCATAATCAGTTGGTGAGGCGAATACCAACGTCTCCCAGAGATCCAGAAGGTGTTTGCTGCAGAGATGCATCTTCCCCTGTAGAGAAGAAGCTTCAGGTGGACATCCGGAGGAATGCCCTGCAGCACTGGGACAAACACCTCAGATACAGGAGGAAGCAGCAGGATGAGTTATCCAGTACCTCCACCTTTATTCATGCAGGTTTTCCTTTGAAGCAGAAGAAATCTATTTTCCTGAACTCTTCTGTTTTATTTTGAGGCTTACTCAACAGGCCGGTGGAACACTTACTGATGAATCAGGGCAGCCGCTTCAGAGAAAAGCAGGAGCAGAAGGAGGTTCTGAGCCGAGTCATGCCGCTCACCCACTCTGGATATGTATGACACACGTTTCTGAGCCGGTACATCCGCGGGTTCTTCACTCCTGTGTACCTCCTGCAGGGTTACCGTGTGGGCAGCGAGTTTTGGAGTCTCCCGCAACGTTACGGAGATGAAGTGAGCGGAATCACAGCGACTCTGACTCAGAGCGAGCGGGGCCAAAGGAAACCTATCACACATGTGGGGCAGCCCAGCAGCATCCAGAAAGAAATGGGTAAGATCCCGCGTTCCGGTTATGGAGCTTATTTAAAAACGGAAACGCAACAAAAATGGAATTTAAACCGACATTCAGTCTTTCTGTTGTTGTTTTTCTTTAGGAGTTATTTCTGCTGAGACTCACACGTGGAGCCGAAGTTCTTACCTTCAGGAGCAGTGCCAGGAACTCAGAGATGCTTTGCAGGAAGTGGACGTGGAAAAGCCAGTAATGCAAATTAAAGTCTGATCTCAAATATCAAGACAGGTTGTAGCGTTTAAAGCCTCATGATGCAAATGTATGACTTAGTACTGTTACTATCAGACAGAAATGACTTGTAGTCTTTTGCATTTGTTTCCATAATTAACAGTTGATTAATATTCTTGCAATATATTGAAAAATGAAAATATTTATTTTACAATTTTTTACACTTTTTATCTGCTGACAGAGAAGATCTTTATTCTAAAGTTAATTTATTTTCAAGCAACAAAGTTTTTCTATTAGAACTCGGTTGATTTATCTAATTATCAAAGATGGCGTATCAGTTATTTGAGTTTAGAGATGACTGACTAGTCGTTTTAATAAGCGCCTGAAAAAGAAGTTTAAAAAAAAGTCTGCTAGAAACTGGGATGCAAAATTAGCTCTGGGCTGAGACATAATTAGGATTTTCACAGCTGGTGAAAAGTCCTGAAACCAATTTAGTTATCTCTGCATTCACCAGATGCTTGTGACATCTGCTGAAGTTAATGATAAATGCAAAAGCAAAAAGATAAAAAAATTATAATAAACAAGATCATTCTTGATCGTTAGATTGCATTCATTTATTCACCCATTTGCGGTGGTCCAGCCTGTTCTAAAAAAGCAAGGCTTGGACCCTAACGACTCGAACAATTACCGTACTATATCTAAGCTCTCTTTCCTCTCCAAATTGTTGGAGAAGATGGTTTTTATCCAGATTTTTAATTTCATTACATCCAACAATGTTTTAGATATATTTTTATGTCTGGTTTTCGCCCTCACCACAGCACTGAGACCGCTCTTACTCGTGTTTTTAACGATATTTTGCTTGCCTCTCATTCTGGTTCTCATGTGTTGTTGGTGCTTTTAGACTTATCTGCCACCTTTGACAGTGCCGACCATGCAATCCTATTACAGCGACTGGAGCAGTTAATTGGCATTTGTGGAATAGCCTTAGAGTGGTTCCGCTCCTATTTCAATGGCAGATCATTTTAATGTTGCCCTGGGGAATTGCACCTCTAGAGTGGCATCTCTTTTTTTGTGGGGTTCCCCAGGGGTCCGTTTTAGGTCCACTTCTTTTTAATCTATATATTTTACCTTTGGCAGCCATTTTTAGAAAATTCTGGGTAAATTTTCATCTCTACGCTGATGATTGTCAGCTTTATATGGCCCTAAAATCTGCTGACCCTGTGCAATCACTGACTGACTGCCTGAGTGAAGTCAGGTCCTGGCTCTTGGCTAATTTTCTCGATCTTAACAGCTCCAAACTGGAGGCTATTCTCTTTGCCCCCTGCTCCCCCTCTGCTGTGGAGCCATCTTTGCCCCCGTCATTGTCAGTTTTGGTGAAGCCAACAATTAAAAATTTGCGGGTAACTCTGGACGCTTTTTTTTAAAATGGATGCACAGATAAATCAGGTTGTCAGGTCGTGTTTCTTTCATCTTCATCGGCTGGCCAAACTAAAATCTGTCCTGAACAAAAAAGATCTTCATGCGTTTATAACGTCACGTCTGGACTATGCCAACTTTCTCTTATATGGTATTCCCTCCTCTTCAGTGGTACACCTCCAATTGGTTCAGCATGCTATTGCAAGGTTTCTTACGGGCATTGACCAACAGCAGCACATCACCCCTGTTCTGGAAAATTTACGCTGGCTTCCAGTTCGGTTTCGTATTAAGTTCAAAATTCTTCTGTTGGTTTACAAATCTATTCATGAAATGGCCCCCTCTTATTTGGCACATCCTTTGAGTCCCTATGTTCCGGCACGAACCCGGAGGTCGTCTGACCAGCACCTTCTGCTTGTCTCTCCTGCCCGCTATATGGCCCGTGGCGAACGGGCTTTTTCAGTTTGTGCGCCTAAACTTTGGAACCAACTCCCCATAACGGTCCAACTTGCCCCCCCCCCCCCCCCCCCCCCTTCCCACTTTTAAAGTACGTTTGAAGACTTATTTTTATTCCCTGGCCTTCCCGGTTGAAACTGTTTAAGCCTTGTGCTTTCCTGTTTTTTTTTTGTTATTATAGTTTTTATTTGTTTTATCTATTTTATGTTGCTGTATCTAGTTTGGTGACGTATTGTCGTGTACAGCACTTTGGTTGGCGTTGTCGCCGTTTAAATGTGCTTTATAAATAAAGGTTGATGATGATGATGATTTATCTGCAACATCATCAAAAACTAAATGTTTATAACTCCATGTTCTAGTTTAAAGTCATTCCCACACTTTGATCATTGTTTCAGCTCTTTGCTTAAACGTTTAACCTTCTGAACCAACCCTGTCTGTCTCTTAATTAGTTATTTCATGAACCATTAGATAGATTTTAAATAAAACTTTCAGAAAGTAACTGATTCACTTTTGGAGTCATCCAACATGGCTGCCACAGCTAATCAGAGCACAAGAACGACCTCTGTCAACAAATATTGAACTACAAAGTCATGTGGGGTCTCGTATGAGATCATGCATTATGTTGTTTCTGGATTTTACTGAATGCTTAAAACTCAAAGAGCTAAAATAAAAGCCGGATTGGGCACTGCACACCATAACAGCTTATTTTTTAGCATCTGCTGCTAATAAAACATCATGTCAGTCTGCATTACATCTGGGCACTTGCCTTTATTTTGAAAAGGAAAGTGCAATTTCTTTTATTCCTTGTTTTAAATTAATCCAGAGTCTTAGGTTAGTTTAACTCGCAAGTCCAATAAACAGCCAGCTTCAGCTTTAATGTAATATTAAACTCTGATGCAGCCACAGAGGACTTCTCAGACACAATCACAACTTATTTATATCATATTATATTTTATGTTAATTTCCACACATTTACATAAATCTTCTCTGTGCACATCCATATTTTATAAAAATACATCTGCTGCTTAAATACCCGTAAATCACAATTTATTGTCAACAGACAATCATCGGTGCCATTTTGACGTTGCACGATAAATGAATTCACTCTGGCCAAAACAGATCAGGCGCACAGATAATTAGTTTTTGTGAAAACAACTTTGTTGTTGGACCACTTGGCTCTCCGAAGCGACTCACACCCCCACAGACTCACAGTCTCTTCACAGCCTATGAGCGTTCTGTCTTGGGCACACTGTTCCAGGTTTTCTGTTCAAAGAACAAACTCCTGTTCAGTTCAGGCAGAACTCACAGTACACACAACACACGCTCACACACACACACACACACACACACACACACACACACACACACACACACACACACACACACACACACACGCTCACACACACACACACACACACACACACACACACACACACACACACACACACACACACACACACACACACGCTCACACACACACACACACACACACACACACACACACACACACACACACACACACACACACACATGCTCACAGAAATGAACACCCACGCATTAAAAGACTGTTTACAAAGTGCTACAAATCTGCTCTTCAGCAGCGATTTACATTTGATTTCTTGTTATTAATGGAGGCCATGAGGTTGTGTGGTGTGTTTCTGCACACACATACAGCAGGTACGGTTATGAAATACGGAGCGTGTGTGTCGGGTCGTAAGAGCAGCACTGCAGAGATCCGGTTGGACAGCTGAGAACAAGAGAACAGACAGAGCCTGCTTTGCAGCTCCCTCTGCATCACAATGACTCCATTAGCAGCGACTGGGGGGTTCTGGGGGTAAATACACAAAAGTAAACATACTTCTTTGCGCTGCCAGTTCTCATTTAATTCCATAAACGTTCTGAGCAACAGGTGCTGGTGGTGTTTTTCTGATCTCATTTGGTTTCTTCCTCTCAGTTTTCCTACCAAAAGAGTGAAAAGAGGAATGGGTTCTGTTGGACAGGCGTCTGATGAGATGCTGAGGGTCCGAAGGGCCTCCTGACACGCAGAAGCGCAGACAGATCGTCCTGTCCACAGCTGATTTAGTGACACATGTAGAAATGGAGAAAGGGAGTGACACGGAGACGGGCGATCATAAAAGACGAGGAGCTGCGAGGAGGGATGAATAGTACGATAAGATGGAAACTTGAGCCTGTGGTGTTATTTTGGATACACTGAGGACATATGATATAATATATTTGCTTTGCTGTGATTGTTCCCACTCTGCCGGTTCAGGTTGGTGTTGGAGAAAACACTCAGCTGCATTTGATCAGGATGAATTGGCTGCGTGATGTTTTTGATGTTAGTCATTATCTCCTTAGCTTAAAGACTTTTGAAGCCAACTTTATTTATAAAGTCCTTTAAACAGCAGCAGACATTAGTGCTGAACATTAAGGCAACATACATTGTAAGTAAAATGAAACATACATAAGTGGATGGTTAAACACACAAAAAGCTATAAAATCAAATAAAAAAGAACAACTTTGGCATTAGAGTTTAAGTAAATATGGAGAGAACTTGTGTGTTTCTGTGATTTCCTTTGCAGGACTTCAGCAAACTGGAGGTGATCGGATCTGGAAAGCCTCAAACCTCCACCACCAGGAGTCCCATACGGGAGAGGGAGGAAAAAGAGAGGGAACACACTGAGATTATGATGGAAGACTAGTAAGAAATAACTTCCTTATTTTATTTTTATTTGTGTAAAATGTTGTTGATGTTTTCTTTAATCGTTATTGACCTTCAGTTATGACCATTGTTCATTTTTCCATATTTCCATCCATCTGTCCATCCGTCCATCGATTCAACCATCCATCCATTCATCCAACATCCAACCATTCATTCATCCAGCAATCATTTATCTATCCATCCATCCATCCATCCATCCATCCATCCAGCAATCATCCATCCATCCATCCAGCAATCATCCATCCATCCAGCAATCATCCATTCATTCATCCAGCAATCATCTATCCATCCATCCATCCATCCAGCAATCATCCATCCATCCATCCAGCAATCATCCATCCATCCAGCAATCATCCATCCATCCATCCAGCAATCATCTATCCATCCATCCAGCAATCATCCATCCATCTATCCATCCATCCATCCATCCATCCATCCATCCATCCATCCATCCATCCATCCATCCATCCAGCAATCATCTATCCATCCATCCAGCAATCATCCATCCATCCAGCAATCATCCATCCATCCATCCAGCAATCATCTATCCATCCATCCAGCAATCATCCATCCATCCATCCATCCATCCATCCATCCATCCATCCATCCATCCATCCATCCAGCAATCATCTATCCATCCATCCAGCAATCATCCATCCATCCATCCAACAATCATCTATCCATCCATCCATTCATCCAACATCCAACCATTCATCCATCCATCCATCCATCCATCCATCCATCCATCCATCCATCCATCCATCCATCCATCCATCCATCCATCCATCCATCCATCCATCCATCCATCCATCCATCCATCCATCCATCCATCCATCCATCCATCCATCCATCCATCCATCCATCCATCCATCCATCCATCCATCCATCCATCCATCTACCCATTTGTCTAGTTTCTACCACTTGTTGTGGTGTGAATCCAGAAGGGAAACCCAGCCATCCATCTCCAGTGACACTTACAACCCCTTCTGGGTAATCCCAGGACATTCCCACGCCGGAGAGAGAGCACAATTCCTCTGGAATCGCCTCCCAATGCTCCCCATTTTTAAAACCTCCAGAATGAGAAAACCAGGAAGCATCCATGTCAGCTGAAACACCTCCTCTGACCCCTTTAGAGGATCATCTGCTCTACTGTAAACTCATCACCTTAGTTCTAGGGCTGACCAGAATGTGAGCGAGGATTGGAATCTAGACGGACTAATGAAGCGAGAGCTTTGTCTTTCTGCTCAGCAGCTTTACCACAACAGACCAACCCTAACCCTAACCCTGAGCCACCGTCACCCGTAGTCATCCTCTTCCTTGTGAGCAAGGCACCACGATTCTCCTGTGCTTGAGGCACCAACTCTAAACCTAACCTGAGCTTTTAAACTTCTTCCAGTTGAGAATCGGGATCTCAGATCTGTTTGGAGCTGACTCTCATGCAGCTGCTTCACACTCATCTGAAAACCTCCCCCAGAGGTCGTGACTTGAATACGCCAACAGATCTACATCCTCTGCAAAAAGCAGAGATGAAGCCCTGAGGCTCCCAAACTTGATTCAATGATGCAGAGACATATGAAGCTCAGGTTGTGTAATCAGACTTGTCTTCTAGTTCTTTGCTTTACGTCCCGTTTCAAAGGTAAACCTGAGAAGCATTTAGATGACTCGTTTGAAGACAAGTCTGCCTCAAATGTAGCTAACATATCAGGTCTTACTGTGATTGTTTAGCGAGCAAAAAATATTATCTGCTGCTCATTAAATCTGACTTTTAAGGGTAGGGATGATACCCCAGAAAATATTCAGTGTAGTTAAATAACGGAGTTTCTGTGAGTGTATCCACGTGTGGACAATTATCCTCACTAAGTAAAAGAACACAAAGCTACTTAATAATAATGTAGTTACTTATTCGTTCACAGCGACCTACTGGCAGAGTTGGATGAAGGTCAGCTCAAAGCTCCGCCCATTCCAGCTTTGAGACTCTGTGGTCAGAGGGCAAGTTGGACTGGAAACTTAGTTTTTAACAAGGTACAGAAAACATTTCACTTTAATTTGGTCAGAATCTGTATTTTTCTTAAAACACTTTCTCTTTTTAAGATCATTAAAAAGCAGCTTCCAGCTCAACGAATCATCACAAATTCATCCCAGATCTTTCAACTCGTGTTTAACTTTGTTTCCACAAAATTTTGTTGGTCTTTCACATACTTTGCATTCATAATCATATAATCTCTCACATATAACATATTAACCATAATTCCATGGAAAAATCTTTGTATTTTTATTGTTTAATTTACTAATAGAGCTTTTGATTAAAGTGAAGAACTAAAATGTAAGTTTTTCACCGACTGAGCCTCCGGGCTGCCAACCTATATTTTTCATGCAGGGACTAGTTGAGAGGTAAACTGGGATAATATTTCTGTAATTCAACTAACATATTAAGGACTTTGCATCTGACTGTTTCACCTTTTTATGCTAAATGACTAGGGAGAAGTCGGAATCACTCCCACGATTTTCTTTGAGAGCCCGACCGGAGAAACCGCCTCGTCCTTCCTGGACCTGCACAACGACGGCAGCTCGGCCATCTTTTACAGCTGGCAGAAGCTTCCAGCACCCCAGAGCTTCCCACACCTGCATTCACAAAAACAGAGCGTGTGCTTCTACTTCAATTTTTCCTCCGGTACATGCACACAAACACCACGAAACAGCCGCAGCTGCTGTCCGTGCGTCACACGTTGTTTGTCCATGTGACAAACCTTCATGTCACTCAACTAGCATCTAGCCTACCTTTTCCTTTACATTTTTTTTTTACCTCTTCAATGCAGCCGTGATCCATCCTGGTGGCACCCAGAAGGTCGAGTTTTTATTTAAGTCAGACGATCCAGGTTTCAGAACTGAACTTTGGCAGCTTAACACACATCCTGTGTTGTTACAAGGAGCCTCCATTCAGCTCAGGTTGAGTGGAATGGCTTTAAAGCAGAACAAAACCTCAGATCTGTGGCTTTTCATAGAGGTAGCTTCGAAGTTCAAACTCAAATACACAAATGAATTGAGAACAAAATAATTTTGTTTAGAGAAACTCTGTGTTTCTGTTGGGTGTGCATGAGCAGAACAAGTTGGAAAAGACAGTTGCGGTGAAAATGTGCCGATCGATTGTTTATGGGGTGCTGCAGAACGTCTACACCGCTGAGAGACCCGGCCCGCCTGCAGAGCTTTACACCACAGAGGAGCAGCAGTTCCACAATAGAAACCCAAAGGTAGTCACTGTTGGTACCTTCTAAAGAAGTAGAGATCATTTGGGGTTTCACTTCTTTATGTTGGTTCACAGCACAGGGTGTCTCTGTGTCAAAATAAAAGTGGCAGTTCTCCACTTTCTGGGGTCTCAAACTGTTACATGCAAATACTTTTAAAGGTGTGGTTCACTGAAAAAACATTTTTAAATGAATATTTTCAGTCAGGCTGAACATGAAAATAGTCTCCTACACCAATCTCCTGCATTAGCTTCTGATAGAAAACAGATGGTGAAACTCTAGGATTAGAAAAGCCTGACAGATCTACGTCACACTGTCACTAAAAACTCTTAAAAAGAAATTATGTGTTCCACCTTGTCGTGGTAGAGGAGTCTGAGTGCCCTAATGATCCTAGGAGCTATGTTGTCTGGAGCACTTTGTGCCCCTGGTAGGATCTCCCATGACAAATTGGTCTTAGGTGAAGGGTGAGACAAAGAACGGTTCAGATGATCTTTCATGGACGTAAATTCAAAGAGTCGGAGTACCCGGCCCGGAGGGTTACCGGGGTCCCACCCTGGAGCCAGACCTGGGGTTGGGGCCCGTGAGCGAGCGCCTGGTGGCCGGGCTTTTGCCCATGGGGCCCGGCCGGGCCCAGCCCGAACCGGATACATGGGCTCATCCAACTGTGGACCCACCACCTGCAGGAGGAACATGAAGGGTCCGGTGCAGTGTGGATCGGGTGGCAGACCAAGGCGGGAGCCTTGGCGGTCCGATTGCTGGACAAGAAAACTAGTTTTTGGGACACAGAACGTCACCTCGCTGGCGGGGAAGGAGCAGGAGCTTGTGGCAGAGGTTGAGCGGTACCGGCTAGATATAGTCGGACTCACCTCGACACATAGCATTGGCTCTGGACCCCAAGTCCTTGAGAGGGGTTGGACACTCTCCTTTGCTGGAGTTGCTCCAGGTGAGAGGCGGAGGGCTGGGGTTGGCCTTTTGTTAGCCCCGAGACTCTCTGCCTGTGTGTTGGGGTTTACCCCGGGGTACGAGAGGGTAGCTTCCCTGCGCCTTCGGGTCGGGGAACGGGTCCTGACTGTTGTTTGCGCTTATGGGCCAAATATCAGTTCAGAGTACCCACCCTTTTTGGAGTCCCTGGGATGAGTACTAGATAGTGCTCCATCAGGGGACTCCGTTGTCCTGCTGGGGGACTTCAATGCTCACGTGGGCAATGACAGCTTGACCTGGAGGGGTGTGATTGGGAGGAACGGCCCACCTGATCTGAACTCGAGTGGTGTTTCATTATTGGACTTCTGTGCAAGCCGCAGTTTGGCCATAACGAACACCATGTTCGAACATAAGGATGCCCACCGGTACACTTGGTACCAGGGCAGCCTAGGTCGCAGGTCGATGATAGACTTTGTAGTCGTATCATCTGACCTGCGGCCGTATGTTTTGGACACTCGAGTGAAGAGAGGAGTGGAGCTGTCAACTGATCACCACCTGGTGGTGAGTTGGATCAGATGGCAGGGGAAGATGCCGCATGGACCTGGATTAGAAAATAGCTTTTATAGCCGCAATGACTTGCATAAAGTTTTTCCTAGGCTCCGTATCTTCTAGTTATTCCACGCCCATGCTCGGCATGCCCATGAAAGTACTTCACTCTGAATAGAATTTTTTTTCTGCTAAAAACTAGGCAGTGTGGACCCAAGTTTTTTTTTTTTTTAGAAGAGTGAGGTAGGATATTCGAAACAAAAAGATGGCTACATGTGTGCATTTGCAAATCTATGGGTAGGGTCAACTTACGTTAAATCATTTGAAATCACATTTTTACAAAACCACACTCAAAAGGAACATTTTCTCAGAGTTCCCTGCATTATACCTCTATGTTTTGATGCTCCACTGACTGGGAGGTTAAATTGGTCTTAATACTCATTGTTTCTCTTTGGAGCTGAATGTTCTCCGTGCATCCGTGGTGTCATCTGATTTTCTTCAGCTGAGAATAAGGCTTAGTCACTGCATGTGAATCAGGATAAGATGAGCCAGTGATCGATCCATTCTCTCAGAGTTTTCACCGACCGTAGGTATGAGTGTGATCGTTCCTGATGACTTGATCTTTGAGTCGATGTCTAAATGTGTCATAAAAGCCTCTGAGCTGTTTCACCTCAAAAGGAACATGGATTTAACTCTTTAAATGGATGCTAATTAAACAGCTTTTAGATGAAATTAGAACGTGACCATTCCCTGGATCAGTTCTCCACTCACACGTGACGAAATCTAAAAACACGCTGGAGTGCAACCAAACATTCAAACCAACAGATGTTCTCCTCGTGTGAATCATCCATAATTGGGAGAGATTGGATGTTTTTGCCTACAAGGTTAGATCTGCTCTAACCACATATTGAGATGATTACAGCCATTGAAGCCTTTCACATTATTGCCACAGTGGATGACACAGATCATTTATTTCTTCTCCTCTGGCACAAAAACCTCGACATGCATCACAGCAAAGATACCCATGAATAGGAATCATTACCCTGCAGTGATTTCTGTTTGTACATGGGTGCAGGAAAAGCAGTTCAGCTTTAAAACAAACATTTTAATATCAATCAATAAATGAACTTAAGATTTTTGCTGTTGTTTTTTTAGCTAATTATACAGAAAAATATGTTTAATGCCCAAAGTTTGACATTAATTACAAAAACAAAATAAAAATGTTTTCGTTTTAAACTTAGTTTATTTACTTTTTTTTCTTTTTAGTTACAGTACTCATATGAGCTCATAGAAGAACTAAAGAAACTTTGGCAAAAAGTAAAACCAGGAGACGTCTGGGACTTTTCTGTCGACACGCTCAGACAGGTATTGTTGAGTATATTTATCAAATTTCTCTTTATTTGCATCGATGAAGAATAAAATGTAATGTTTTTCCTCCTTTTATTGTGCTACACTCAAGGCTGTGCTGTCTCTGCCCAATGAGGAGCCGTCTTCAGGCTCCCTAGGGAAAGAGGAGAGCCTGGCTCAGCTCAGCGCTCTGTTTCTGCAGCTTTCAGAGCTGACACATGTGAAACACCACCCAAAAGCAACCTTAATAGGGTGAAGCATGGATACCCCTTAATAAAGCATCGTGTTTTGTACCATGACTCATGTTCTTCACCTGCAATCTCAATGCTGACATGTGTCCTGTTGGTATGTGTCGCCCCCTGCAGGCAGCAGCTGTGGAGGAAACTGCTGGACACGATGTCTGGTGAGGCCATGAGGCTCAGAGATGTGTTCAGTCTTCCAGAAAATGTTGGTAAGAAGCGTTTAGATGCTGGTCAGGTTCTTAAGTTTTTTTTTTCAGACTTACAGCAGTAGGGGTTACACTCCTCAAACTTCTCCCCTTCGATGATACTAAGTTTTGTATTTGATAACGTTAAAAAGCCTGATTAGTTACCTTTACAATCAGACTCAACTTGTAATGAGCATCACTGGGATGAGCAACATAGCTAAATGTGCACAACTCCTTAGCTGAAAAGAAAATAGTTTTACAGTAAATCAAATATTTTAAAAGGCTGGGTTGCATAGTGATCATTTCATGTTGGGTGTGTCTGATCGTTCGCACAAAGATGACAGTTCTGAGAGAAAGAGAGGAGCTTGGAAAGAAGGCAGAACTGGGATGAGACCCAAATCCATAGATTGCAGATCTCCACCACCTGACAGTCATTTGGAGGTAAGAAGAAAAGCTTTGCAGTGTGTGTGTGTGTGTGTGTGTGATTCGCTGTAGCACCTTTAAAGGTTTTCTTGTATGTAAGTATGACTGAAGTGTTTTATTAGTTCCTGTAAAACCATCAGGTAACGTGTTGTTGCAGCATGACTCACCCTCTGCTTTTCCACCAAGCTGTCAATTCGTCCTTCATTCATCTGTTATTCATGTGGGTTTGTTACTACTGGCCACTTCCACACACTCAGCCACACATGAAACAGAAATATTATTTTACTAAAACAGCATTTTAAGTAAGTCACATTATCTGTTTTATGATTTTACTTTCTTTGCTTGAATAATAAACTATATCTCTGGTAATAGGCCCAGTCTGTGATGGATAGTCACTGTTTCCCAAATAATGTAGAAAACCAACACCTGTCAAGTCGTGCAAGATTATTCTGGTAGCTTAGCAACACATTGGCTATTCAGTTTTTCAGTAACTTGTCGAGAGAGGTAACGTGCAAAAGTGTCACTCTTTTCAGTGCACAAGGTTGCTTGTCTGCTCCTTCCCACCATGCACCTGTCTCATTAAGCTCTATTCACAAACCTGAAATTTAGAGATTTGTTTATCTCTTAAAACAACTGAGCCACAGCTCTGACCTTGAACTTCATCTCTTCTTCCTTGTGAAGAAGAGTCATTTTTCTCTGCTGAGATTTTTGCTGAGTGATTTTCTGCTCCGTGTAAAGGCTGAGTCACCGCCAAGGTGCAGTCTGTTACTCATGTGGTACCATGGAAACCGAACAGCGTGTGAAAACGTGCACCTGCTCCTGGACTCCGTGTCAGAGTGTGAATTAAAGGCACCTGCATGCTTCCAAACCATTTGTGACAGATGCACACAAGATCTACACCAACACCGTTCTGCTTGCTCAGTAAATCGTATTTAATTCCAAACCTGCTAACCCTCCACAGGAGCGCACAAAGAGAGGTAGAGGAAAGGATCATGCAACGAAGAGTAACAGAGGAAAACATTTGGAGAGAACCGGCACTAAAAGCATCCTCGAAGCTAATGGGCATGTAGATGCAGAGATGATGAGCATTTACACAACAACTCTGCACAAAAAGGCAAGTCACTTTTGGCTTTTTCCACATGCATTGTTGGAAAATTCATTCATTTGTATAACACCCCACTCAGCTGTTTCATGTGTTGAAGATGCCATCAAAATGACCTCTTGGTGGTTTAGAAAGCAGCGAGATCCCAGTTTTTCCAAAGAAACACTGATTAGAAAAGGCTGCTGGGAGCTTCTCCGGCCCCATAAAAGAACAGAAAGAAGAACGTTGCATGAGCTCCTCAGCACACCAGACAACCGTTCACACCTTCTACACAGTCTGATAAATAAACAAGTGTTGTTAGGGGCCTCTTCAGCTCACAGCAGCACAGAAGGTCATCTTGCCCACATATACAGGACTTTTTATTTCTGGTATGAGAACAGTGTAATGTATTTGTGCTGATGTAACCGACAAAACGAAGCTCAGGCCGTGTCTCCAGATCAGCGAGTGCCGTGTCGGTACAGGATCTGCTCGGGTGCAGGATTGGCTCGGGGTCCTTCGACTGCCGATGACGTCAAAGTAGTTCATTGGCTTAACATGAAACTTACGGAAGTTACGTTATCACGTTATGATTTTGATTGGTCAGATCAAATTTGCGGTCGTAGTCTTAGCGGTTGTAGTCCTGTAGTCCAAAAATCAACACTTTTTGGAGAAAATATGTTTGAATTTCTAAAGGAAATGTAAAATATGAGCAAATGATAAACGGTGACCCTCAAAAGCTCTTGATGTTGATGAAATGGGGCGAAATAAAATATAAGAACTTTATTGAAAGACACCAAGCAACATTTTGAATCAAAGAATGCATTTAGATAGCAACTAAGGAAATATACAGACGAACTCCACATTAATACAAACAGATATGGCTTTGGTACCAGGGCAGCCTAGGTCGCAGGTCGATGACAGACTTTGTAGTCGTATCATCTGACCTGTGGCCGTATGTTTTGGACACCTGAGTGAAGAGAGGAGCGGAGCTGTCAACTGATCACCACCTGGTGGTGAGTTGGATCAGGTGGCAGGAGAAGATGCCGCTTAGACCTGGCAGACCCAAACGCATAGTGAGGGTCTGCTGGGAACGCCTGGCAGAAGAACCTGTTAAGACGGTCTTCAACTCCCACCTCCGGCAGAGCTTTGACCGCGTCCCGTGTGCAGTGGGGGACATTGACTCCGAGTGGGTCTTGTTCCACTCTGCGATTGTTGAGGCGGCTGTTGCTAGCTGTGGTCGCAAGGTGGCCGGTGCCAGTCGTGGTGGCAACCCCCGTACCCGCTGGTGGACACCAGAGGTTCGGGGAGCCATCAGGCTGAAGAAGGAGGCCCACAGGGCGTGGCTGGTCTGTGGGCCTCCGGAGGCAGCAGACAGGTACCGGATAGCCAAGCAGGGATGCAGCAGTGGCAGTTGCCGAGGCAAAATCTCGGGCGTGGGAGGAGTTTGGTGAGGCCATGGAGAAAGACTATCGATCGGCTCCAAAGAGGTTCTGGCAAACTGTCTGGCGCCTCAGGAGAGGAAGGCAGCAACTCGCTCACACTGTTTACAGTGGGGATGGGGAGCTGCTGACGTCAACTGGGGCTATAGTCGGACGGTGGAAGGAATACTTTGAGGAGCTCCTCAATCCCACCTACGCGCATTCCGAGGAGGAACCCTCGGGAGGGACTCGGAGTAGAACCGCTGCTCCTACAGATCGAAAGGAACCAGTTGAGGTGGTTTGGGCATCTGGTCAAGATGCCTCCTGGACGTCTCCCCGGGGAGGTGTTTCGGGCATGTCCTGCTGGCAGGAGGCCCCCGGGTCGACCCAGGACACGTTGGAGAGGTTACATCTCCATTCTGGTCCGGGAACGCCTTGGGGTCCTGCCAGAGGAGCTGGTGGAGGTGGCCGGGGAGAGGACGGTCTGGAGCTCCCTAGTTGGGATGCTGCCCCCACGACCCGGACCCAGATAAGCGGAGGAAGACGACGACGACGATGACGAAATGGCTTCACATATAAGAACTGTTCTATTTTTTTTGTCAGTCCGATGTTGGTTTTAAGCTGTTTCACATTCTTTACAAAACAAAGATAATATGGTGTTTTATTAACAAATTACAATTATAAATAAAACATTTAGGTGTTAACAAACAAGAATTTATTAACAAAACTGCTGATGTCTTTCCAAAACGTGTGTGAAAGCCGAGTATATTTGCAATAATGTGACATCATTGGCAGTCGAAGGACCCCGAGCCGATCCTGCACCCGAGCAGATCCTGTACCGACACCATCAATTTGATTGTTCTCTGTTTTTCTGTCCTCCTGAAAGAACACGACTGCCCTCTGCTGGTAGGCAGGTTGAGTACACATTGCACTGAATGACAGTAGTCTCATCAATACATTACATCTCCCTTTATTTGAAAGAAATAAAAATACAGCCCAAGAACTAATCTCACCAGGAAATTCTTTTGAGTGATCAATAACAAGGATCTACCCTGGAACATGTCTAAACAGTCCTAAGCAAATGGATACCATATGAACATCAATGTAATTGCAAAACTATGAACACTGTGTTACTCTTAGCTGTTCACAATAAGCTAGAATAAATCACAAATCAAGTCTGTCAGGTGGTTTAACCACTCTGCCTCGCCTAGTCACATACGGCACTGAAACCTTGGTTTGACTGGTACCCTCTTGCTGATCTACCGGCATGGACACCAGCAAAAGCATTTCTAAGGGTGATGAAAGATCTGCTGAATCAGTCCAGGTCTCTTCACTCAGAGTGTGGCGAGACCGATTTGCTGCTGCTGTGCTCCTTAGAAAAGATGCTGACTGTTGCGACGATATTCCTTCCCACTAGAGTCCACAATATAAGACCTGGGCTCAGCACATTTATGAACAACAACAGCAGGAGCCTATCTGGCACTGCCTGGATGAGGTTGCATCCGGACCTCATCACCTGGAACCAAGGGAAAATGATGAGTTGGGATTGATGTTGCCCTTTTCTTGTCATAGTGGAACTTTTGGAAAGCCTTGGACTTGTCCAGCCGCTGCTTAATTTGGTTGGGATCATGCGCTTTGGGGACCAGAAGCAGTTTAGATGTTGGTAACAAGTTTCTTGGCCTCCTGCCCATCAGCAGCTGTTCTGGTGACAAAGAGACAGACTCAAGGGGTGTTGTACGATAATCTAACAATGCTAGATGCTTGTCCGGAGCTTTGTTCCATAGTCTTTTTACCGTCTGCACAGCACGTTCAGCCTCTCCGTTGGAGTAAGGAGTGTGAGGTGATGATGTGCGGTGTGAAATACCATAACTCTCATAAAAACCTTTAAACTGCTCTGCTGTGTACTGCGAGCCATTGTCAGTCCGAAGGATGGATGGAATACCATGTCTGCTGAATTGAGCTTTCAGCGTCTCGATGACGGTTCGACTGCGCGGGTCTTTGAGTTCATCTACTTCAATTAATTTGGAGTAGTAATCTACTAGCACTAAATATTGTTTTGACTCAAACTCAAATATGTCTGAACCTACTTGCTCAAATGGAAGATCTGGAGTTTCCGTTGGACTGAGAGGAAGTCTCGGCAGTTTGTTTTGAAACTCGACACACTTGCTGCAGTTCCTGACCATCTCTTCTATTTCAGAACTCATTCCCGGCCAGTAAAGAACTTCACGAGCCCTCTGCTTGCTTTTCACGGTTCCTGATGTTATGAGACCTAACATGTACTTCCTCATAGAAGGAGGAACTACCACATGAGGCCCTTTGTACACTACACCATCATATACAGTCAGTTGACTCCTAGAGTCCCAGTATGGTTGAATGGAACCTGGAACATCTCTTCTGTGTACTGACCAACCCTGACGAATTCTGACCTGCAACTCTTGAAGCTCCTCTCCGGTTCTTGTCTGCAGCTCATCATACTTTTCATCACTCACTGCTATATGATCTAGCATTGACACACACTCTAAACCTTCCAACTCAGGTGTGTTGCACTTGAGTTGAGCTCTTGACAGAGTGTCGGGGAGCTCCATGTTCTTTCCTCTTCTGTACTGGGTTTTTAGATCGTACCACTGCAGACGCAAACGCATTCTCTGTATGCGCATGGGAGTTGAGAGCAGTGACTTTTTGAAAATGTCCTCCAGAGGTTTGTGGTTATTGTACACTGTGACTTGTTTGCCAAAAATGTAATGATGAAACTCCGTGCAGGCATGAACAATAGACAGCATTTCTTTTTCTATTTGCACATAGCGGGTTTCTGCATCTGTCAGCGACCTAGATGAGAATGCTACAGGATGACTGTCTTGAGTGAGCACTGCACCAAGCCCATAGCTGCTTGCATCATCTTAGATTTCCACCAGCTGCACCGGGTCAAAATACTTCTGCACTGGAGGGTGTGAACACAAGTCTTTTAGCTTGTCAAAGGCCATTTGTTGAGCTGGTTGCCAAACATACTCCATGTCACTCTTTAACAGTTGACGCAGAGGTGCATCAACGTCACCTAGATTCGGAATGAACTTCGACAGGTAAGTGACAAACCACAGAAAGCGCCTTACACCGTCCTTGTCAGTAGGCGGAGACATGTCGAAAACCGCTTCAACTTTTGTTGGGTCTGTCTTCAGACCTTCTGCAGTGAGTAAGTGACCCACATATGGCACCTGAGTCTGGCGGATGAGACATTTGTTGAAGTTGAGCTTCAGGTTATAGCTTGTGGCTCTTTCAAACACTTTACGCAGAATTGCATCATGCGACTCCAAGTCTGATGCTGCTATCAGAATATCATCCATAATGGCTGTGGCTCCTGTTACGCCTTCGAGCAGGCCATCCGTTATGCGCTGAAATATTTCTGGTGTGCATGCTAGTCCAAATGGTAGCATAGCCTAAGCCATCTGTATCTCCCTACTGGAGTGTTGAATGTTGTGAGAAATGAAGACTGCTCATCCAGTTCTATCTGAAGGAATCCAGATTTTGCATCCAAAACTGAGAAAATCTTTGCACCAGGTATGGCAGATGCTACCTCTTCAATAGTGTGCATGGGGTAATGTTCTCTTTTGAGGACTTTGTTCAAATCACTGGGGTCAATACAGATCCTCACTCCCCCGGGACCTCTACCAGCAGGCAAAGAGGCTGATGTGTCTTAAGCCGGGCGTACACTGTGCGACTTTTTCACTCGTAGCACTCAGCTTCAGCTCAAACTGTACGACTTCCTCGCAGAGCAGATCTCACGAGTCATGCGCTCACACTGTACGTCTGGTAGCAACACGTCGGACCTAAAAATATGCTAAAAATAGCAGTTTGTACACAACACGTCAGACTTTTTTGTCTTGTTTTGCCTGTTGTCCTTCGGGAGAGCTGCAGGAGGACACACAGGGATTTATGGGGGTCGGATGAGGAAAACGAAATAAAGAAAGTAAATCTGTGTTTTGTGATCAGTTTAAGTTGACATGAACACGACAAACACGCTTTCTTGACAATCTTTGTGAGTAAAAAAAACATGTAGAAACAAAAACGAACAACGTGTGTTATTAGGGAAATAGCGGGCGAGCGGTGTTGATGCAGGATTGCGCATGCGCCATGAGCGGTTCTGATACATTTTGGGTCGCAGCTGCTCGCAGCGCCGCCTCAACAGTGCGATACCCTCACGAGGGACGAGCAAAATATTAAACACGCCAGAAGTCAGTGCGAGCTCACGATTGCTGATCGGTAACTGGTCACGTGGTGTTAATCGCCTCTCGTAACCCCCTGTACACTACACGACGCTCGGCGCAAAACTCGCCCCAATCTCGTGGATTCTCGCACGAGTGGAAAATCGGCTCAAAAAAGTGAAAAAGTCGCACAGTGTACGCCCGGCTTTACCCAGAGTGATAAAAACTCCAACCCTCTGGTTACGGGGCAGGCACTTATCTCCTCTGCACCGTATTTAATTCTGTTATGGTCTCTAGTGTGAATGACTGCCTTGTGAGTCATTTTCTGTAGGACAGGACAGCTCTGGCGCTCCTGTTTCAAAAAGTAGACGTTTGTGGGAGGAGTGGGGGGCAGAAAATGATTCAGAGTCTCACTCATTAATATTCCTCTTATGCTAACATATTGCCTCTGATTGGCTAACAACAATGCAACACTTCTGTTGTCTCTCTTCCCTCTTATTCCTTTAAAAAAACAAATACAATATTCATGTTTGTCCACTCTCCACTAACAACACTAGTCTGACCTTGAACCCCATGTTGTGGAGTAGCTATTGTTTCCATGAGCCAAGCCGTGCGCCGATCTGCCTGCAAAACCAACACAGCATCCTCCATCACGAGCCAAGGTGGGTGGGGCCATGAAAGCTCATGTTCCCTGTGATGTTGAAGAGAATGGCTTTTTCTAACTCAGTGGTTTTCCCATATACAGTACTGACCCAAATATACCCCGATTATAAGACGACCCCCCTTTCCAAGACTAATCTTCAGGAAAAGAAAAAAAAATCACTTTTTAAATAAACTATTTTTATAGAAAATTTGAGAACAAATACTGAGCAAAAATACTCTTTTAGTGCAAACTATCAGAACTTTGCTGACATGTGGAATCAAAAGTCAAATGAGGTTTTTATTCAGACGCCCGCTGCCTCGTTGTCCTCACTCATGCTGCTGCGGTTCGGTGGACCATCAGATCGCTACCCGGCTCCTCCCTGAACGTCATCCTCACTGCCATCCAAGGCATCCATGCATGCAATGTTTGACACCTCGACTGAATTGACCACTGTCATCTTAAAATTTGCATAACTCTGCCATACTATGCTAACTTGCCCCACTTTCAGTCCACTCTGCTCCGGACCTCCCATCTCCATTTTTCTCTCCTGTTGAGAACACACAACCTGGCGCCCTCTGCTGTATGGGCATGTAATGACCCCATCAGCATGTGATGACCTCGATTCTAAGACGACTCCACATTTTAAAATGATTTTCGGCACACCCTTTCTGCGGACAATGCAGGTGATGGAGTTTGAAAAAACATTTTTACTTTCATCATCTATGTGAAACTCAGCGTGACCGATCTTACTTCACAAAGAAAAATGTACTTCTGGTGAAGTTCAGCAGGACTTTTTTTTAATTTCTACTGAATTTATTATGTAATGAGATACTGTCACCCATATAAAGATGTAATAAATAACAACATTAGCACCCAAACTTTGATTTTGGCTGCTTGTCCAACTAGCCATTAGCTAGTCAGTCCTGTTAGATACAAACTAATTATTTTAACAAAGGCTGTTTAGGTAGCAAGCCGTTGCCACAAGATGGTGATTGTTCGTGATCTACAAAGAAACATTCAAAACAGATGATAATTATGCCATTAAAAATTAAATAAAATGAAGAAAAAAAAGAAGAAATCAAGGAACGCCAGGGGCTTTTCTGTTTTATGTTCTGTCACCTTAGTTTGCTGTCTGGGATATTTGTTTGGTAACAATAAGACTCTCTTTATTAACATTACTGGTGTGAAGGTGTGTGTAAATGGGTGAATGACTGATTGTGTTGTAAAGTGCCTTGGAGGGTTGAAGGACTCTATGGTGCCAAATCAAAAACTTACAGGTCATTCTTAGTGCATTATTAGCATCGATGAGCTATTACATTAACAACTATTATTGTTGATATTTAGTAATGCATTACTAAGCAGACCCCTTTTTGTTAAGCCTTAAGGTCACTTAATAGTTAAAATCTTAACGTTAATAAAACTATCCTTTGTTTATTAATGCTTAATGATGTTCTAAGTGACCTTAATGAAGGGATCCTTTGTTTATTAATGCTTAATGATGTTCTAAGTGACCTTAATGAAGGGATCATTTGTTTATTGATTCTTGACAGTGGACTAAGTAACCTTAATAAAGGGATTATTTGTTTATTAATGCTTAATGATGTTCTAAGTAACCTTAATGAAGGGATCCTTTGTTTACTGATGATTGACGATGGACTAAGTAACCTTAATAAAGGGAGTATGTGTTTATTAATGCTTAATGAAGCACTAAGTAACCTTAATAAAGGGATTATTTGTTTATTAATGCTTAATGATGTTCTAAGTAACCTTAATGAAGGGATCCTTTGTTTATTGATGCTTGACGATGGACTAAGTAACCTTAATAAAGGGTCCCACTTGTTTTAAATCACAGAATTAGGAGTAAATGTACTTTAAAATGCTTGAACAAAAAGCACATGACCACTAGGTAAAGACTTAATGTGTTTACTGCTCTTCTGTCAGGTTTATGCTCTGATGGAAGACCTGGTGGAGGACCTGTTTGACCTGATGGAGGACATAAATGTGGAAGATGGACCGAATTATCAACACACTGATTATATTTTATTGCAAGATCAATAAACGTGTATTTAACGTGAGAAATGGGTCGTTTGTCCTGCTCAGATCACGCCTCAAACCCCGCGGAGGCTGAGGTTTAACCGCTGACGAAGCAGCAGACGCGCCCCCGTCCCTCCCTCCCTCGCCCCCCTCTCTCCTCCCCTGCTGTGACTGCTGTATGCTCGTGGCCTGCCGGCGCTTTTACGCAAACGGGGCCGCCTCTGTGAGCGAGGAGGGTGAGTGAGCCCAGCGTTGTAGTTTCATCCTATGCGGATTTCACCACCGACTGCCTGCGCGCTGGAGAGGCGCGCATCCTGGATAGGCCGGGATTCAGGCGCTGACACCCCCCTGAGAGAGGACACCTACCCGGTGAGCAGGACGTTGATGCGGGGAGGATACTCAGACCTGTTCCGCTTCTGCAGTTCCTTGAGGAGGATTATTTATTTCTGGAGACAGATGATCAGGAATGATGGTCGGAGGACAACACCGGAGATGAGCGTGATGGTGAGCGGCGTGCGCTGCACTCCCGGCCTTCATTACCTTAAAATGAAAGGAGCAGAGCGGGGTTGGCTTTATTTCGATGCTGTGGCCGCTCATACAGCAGTTGGTCATACAGAAGGGGGTTCAGAATGCACATGGCAATCCCCGGAGGAGGGAATCCACCGCATGAGTGGGCGTGTATGAGGGGGAACAGGTGTATTACCCCAAAGCCCCCTCCCTTATACACTCTGACACTAGCTGAAATGCAGTGTTACTATAAAAGCATTTTTCAATGTAGCTTCCTAACAACTCGACTCTAGCAAAGTCCGGCCTCTGTCCACTATTATTTCATATGTAAAATAGGCTACTGATGCCTTCACAGCAGGCATGCGCATTTCGGAATAACAGAGTCACGTTAAATTTGAGCAAACGACTCACTGAGCGCTCAAACTTTTTTTTTTTCCTTTTCCAAACGCAGAACGAGACAGGTTTTCGTCTTAAAGACCAAGCTGCATTTCCAAAACACACCAGCATTTAAGCTCTCAGATCATTAATGATTTAAATGACCTGCAGTTAGAAACTTCTATTTTATTAGCATCCATGAGTCTTACAGTAGTGAATAAGGTTTTACTCCCTCATCCCAGTAAAACCACCATGTTTTATTCCCTTACAGACACGATCTAATAAATTAGAAATCAGACAAAGGCCTTTATTCCAGAAATCATTTTTCATTCATAAAGATACAATTAGAGCATTAAATGCATTTGACGAGTTCAATTCAAATAGTCTGTTGTTTTGGTGGGTCTTATTCTTACGGCCATGAGGCTTTGTGCGAAATATGTGAGCAACTTCTTGTCCACCTTAATTTACATTGACACGATGCAATCCCTTTGGCAAATCCCCATTTTATGGTCAACTTGTGTAAGCCCGGCTGTTACAGCTCAAACAGAACATCGTTACACTCCTTCTGTCTACTGCACTAGAAGGGTGGGATGATGAGCTAACAATCTGGCTAAAGCTAACACACAGTAGCATTTTTAGCTACTTTCTTAACATGTCAACAATCTTAAAGCTCTGAGGCCTATCGTCCCTACAAGGGACAAGGGTTAAAAGAGGTGGGGCATAATCTTATTTCCTTGACAGAGCCGAGTCAGAGCCTTAAGCGTGGTTTATAGGCTACTTCTACGTTTGCGTTGGCGTTGAGACGCGCAACGCCATTATGCGTTGGCGCAGGAGCATTCTGACAGGCTCACAGAGGGTGACAGAGACATGACCAAATTTTTAAATATTCATAGAGAGTCTTTTGTACGTTCTTGCTGTGTGTGTCTTCTAATTCCACTTTTGGTTCTTTTTTAAAACACAGATAAGGTTTCTCTTTGCTGACGGTTTCGTTTGCGGTTGCAAACATCTTCAGAGCTGACGCTGATGGTGGCGTCACTTCCTACTCCGCAGATAAATGGAGTAGGAAGTGACGGAGACCGCAAGCTTGTGATTTGTCAGGACGCTGCTTTCTTTAAATTCATCAACAACGCTGCCATTGACCCTCAAAAAATAAAAGATGCTTAGCGACAGACACTGAACGAAAAACTCTGATAATATGAACGTTTATTCCCCCGTGATTGAAAAGGTACAAAGATATGCACCATTACCAAACCTGGGTTTTAGCATCTCCTACATCAGGTGAAACAAAAACTGCAGGATGGCACTTTAGGTTAACAACGGCAGTCTAAACGCACGTTACATTAGACCTATTCAGAAACTTGTACACATGAAATCATGCCTGTTGTTGTTGTTCCTGTAAGTCTGCTGTCAAATCTTGTTACTACCCGGTGTTCTGACTATACGTTGGCTTCTCTTCTCCAAGACAAGACATGGTCATTGCCGTGCGAGTGAATGAATGAAGCTTGAGCTAGTTGTTGTTTACCAGGCGCACATGGTATACGTCATTTCAGTTGTTACTGTGATTGGCTAAAGACAAAATATGGTAGCCAGTGCCAACCGGGCACTGCCTTGCAATCAGCTCAAAATATTCTACCAGATAGCCCTCCCTCTTTCAGACGGTTTCTGCTGTAGATCGAAATGTGTAGACTTGACACGGGGCGGGGCTGCACAGAGAGATCTGGCTGCTGCCAGGTTATCTCAATCAATCAATCAATCAAAGCTTTATTTATAAAGCGCCTTCCGCGACCCTGTCGGGAAGCCCAAGGCGCTGAACATGGTACATGAGAAAATTTATCTGGGTTCCTCGTCTCTGGGGAGGTGGTGCAGCCATATTTTCTCCTACTCCAAGGTGCGTGTTCTAAACATTGCTCTTGTAGCCACAGCTTTGTACAACCGCAAACAGCACAACATTTTCCCAGGCCGTGCGAGTACATTCTTCGGGGTTACATTTTTTTTTTTTCAAAATCGTCTTCGATTGTTAAAATAAACAATGAAACCTCGCCATGCAAACCAATGGGTAAGCACTACTTCTTGTATCTCCCCGGATGTTGCTCGCATCATCGTTTCTCCCAAAAATAAGGTGGATAAATAATGCATTTGAAACACCACAGATTCCTCACCCACCATTTCGGATGATCCCATTTGGCTCGTTCAGCTTGTCATTTCAGCTCTGAGAACTGTTATGTACACAGAAAGATCACGTTACTCCCACATTATGAAATATCTGTTCTGCTGTGAGGCTCGGATAAAAAGCCTGGAAGCGTGATATTTTCAAACACCTCACACAGCTGACACAAGCAGCCTGTGTACGCTCGCGCGCGCGCGTGTGTGTGTGTGTGTGTGTGTGTGTGTGTGTGAGACTGAGATGATTGTGCAGAAAGCTGATATTGGTTGCAGGTGCTGAGCACAAGTTTCTTCCTCATGCCCTTCCTCCTCTCTCTGTCTCTCCACTCTCACACACTCATCCTCTCACGATTTTGTGTCGGTAGCATCTCATGTATATATATATATATATATATATATATATATATATATATATATATATATAAAGTTTGATTTTACTAAAGATGGGGCACATTTGAGGTAATAAGGAAGCTTATTTCATGTGTGTGCAGCAAAATGACTAAAAGCAGATTCACCCTGTTTGGTTGTGACTTGGGGTTCTACCAGCTGACTGCTTTCTAAGGATCTCAGAGCCCCGCTGGGTGTACTGCAAGGACATCCACCATGTAAAGCTGAATGCTGTTCAGTTCTAATTGCATCTATGCAACCGGAGTCGGGCATAGGCCCAATTTATACTTCTCCATCAGCTCCACGAGGGAGAGATACGCACGGATGGAGACATTTTGCCCTCAAACTTCTCTGTCTCCCGGGGAGCGTTGCAAAGCAATTCCTCGCCAGGTCAACAGAGGGCGTAGCGCTGTTCTGTGGTGTCCTGTCATGTGTCCGGTCCAAGATGATGTGTTTATATTGTGGACTTTTTAACACGGACACATTTGTCACTCCTCCTTCTCCACCTCTTCATGGGCTTGCCACCTCTAAACCCATGTTTCCCATCATTTCTGTCCACGAATAAAATGCTTGCTGCATATCTTTTCACTCCTCCAGTCACAGGGGGATAAAACGTTCATATTTTTGGGGTTTTCCATGAGATATTCTTCAAGCTGCTTCATGTCTGCCGCTAGATATCCTTAGCTCTCTTCATGTTTTTGAGGGCGCAATGGCGACACTATAGACGACAGCGGCACCCAGACCAATCACAAGCTTGCTTTCTCCGTCTTGTCAGACGGATGTTTAGATCCTTGAGGGCCCTCAAAAGAAAAATGGTGTTGCGTGCATCCGTCCTGACGCAGATGGAAAAGTATAAATTAGGCTTTAGGAAATGAAAAATTATGTATTACCTAACACGTGTCATCATAAGTTACAGGTTTCTAGTGGTGAAAACTCCAGAAAGCTACTTTAAATAACACGAATGGGTTCAAATGATTTAACACTCCTGGTTCCAATTAATAATTCACACAAACCACCGTATTCATGTGTTTGATTTCAGATCCAGTTACTCTAAAACGTGTTACTGTTAGTCGCCACGTTTTAAGACAGTAAACATAAAGTTTCACAGAATGTTTTAATGAAATAAGCAAAGCATTAAAACAACCAAAAACATGACAAAGATGGTGGCGTCCCCTGACTGGTACTGGTCCGACACCATTCAGTCCCTGGCTACAAGCTGTAGATATTTTAATAGAGAGGCAGCATTAAACTGGACGGTGAGTGGAATCGGCCAACGTTCAGTAAACAGCTGATCTAAAACAATCTGAGGTTTGTTTTTCTGTCTGTGAAGGCATCGATGCCAAGTAGCAAAAAGAAATCCCACGTTTTTCTCAGGCTGTGAACTCACCACAGCTATGCTCTGATTCACACCAACAGCAGGGAAAACATTTGAATTCTGTTAATTATTAGACTTTGAGATAATTTAGTATCATCAGGTAGAGCTGTGACAGACACCGGTATCCACCCTCAGAACTGTAGCTGCAGTTTAACATGCTTTTATTTATTTTCAGATTTTTTTTTTTCATTTGGAAAAGTCACTGCAATTATTTGTGTTACAGTTTGTACT